TAGTATTTTTAATTAAATTACTCATTTTGTATATTTTTATCTACACTTATAGTTTTATTTTAATATTTAAATACCTACTTTAGGTGATACGCACAACTCGTTATAGTTTTAAATTAATTTAATTACTTTTAATATACTTGGCAACGTCGACGTTCTATAGTACTTTTGCGTCATACAATTTCCTATAACATCATCTATGTTTTAAAAGTTAACCTTATAGATAGACAACGTAATTAACCTTAATTTTGTTTTCAAGTTGTTAGTAAAACTATTTAAACTTTGATCTTATTTCTAAAGCATTTTTCTACAGGAAAATGGCAGATGAACTCGATAATGTAAATATTAATACAATTGTAAGCATTTTGCTGTATTCATTGAGGAATTATTTTTGTAGCTTCCAGTTATTACTGTGAAGGAACCCCTAGATTTAGTCAGATTAAGCTTAGACGAACGGATTTATGTCAAGATGAGGAACGATAGAGAATTACGAGGACGGTTACATGTAAGTTAACATGATTTATATTTTAGTTTAACATTAATTTTGGTTTTATTCCTGTCAGGCTTATGATCAGCATATGAATATGGTTCTTAGTGATGCGGAGGAAACAATAACGACAGTGGAAATAGACGAAGAAACGTACGAAGAAGTTTATCGTACAACTAAGAGAAACATTCCCATGTTGTTTGTTAGAGGAGACGGTGTGATCTTGGTGTCACCACCTATGCGAACAGGCTAAATCCCAAAAATGCATAAGTAAATTTAATTAAAAATTTCAAGCTTGTTTAACTTTACAAATAAGATGGACGGAAAAAAATCATTAAAATAGAAACCATAAAGTGCATTAAATATTTATTATATTACAAAGACAAGTACAAGTAGTTTTAATGTATCGCTTAATTTAAAAGTTATAAAGTTACAGTATAATACACAAGTTCCATATGTATATATATAAGAGACCATTTCTACAGTTTATGGTAATGTAAGAATGGGAAAAGCACATAGTACAACTACAAAAGTAGAAACAACAAATATTAATTGCGATAATACTGCAATAAAACATTATCCCACATTTTCAGGCATTTAGAAACATACAAACTTTGTTGATAAACTGTAAGACAAAAACGTTTTACTATACAATTTTTTAAAAGCTTTCACTACAAGGTGCATATAAAATGTTAATTCGATTTTATTATTCATGATTCACATTAATGAAAATAAAAAGGCAGCAACCGGGTAAGCAAGGGCTAACTAAATTTCACATTTTTGTGCATCTCAACTAGTATTAATATTTACTTTCACTCAAAGCATTGCACCAGAAATTGTACTATTTTTCATATAAAAAAATGGGTATTTTAATTTTTTTAATCACAAATTCTTGATTGGATCTTAATAGAAATATTTATTGTAGATGTTTCAAAAGAGAAAATTATGCTTTTGATTGAAATACAAATGTCATGTTAAAATTTTTTCTTTTTTCAATCTTCGATTTTAAACTCATCGTCTGTTCTTCCCTTAAATTTAACAGCTATTTTTTATTAAGATTCATTCATTCACAAGTTATTAGAAATTAGTGTTATTGGTTTTCTTCACCAACCACTGCAACTTCTCGCTACTAAGAGACATAAATAAGTGCTAGTGATAGTAACTTGCCCAAAAAATTATTTGTAGGGTCAAACTACCATTACTTACTCGGCTGACCTTTAATGTTACAGCATAAAAGTAAAACAAAAAATGACAAAAAGGTTGCTTGTAAGACTCCCTATTAAAGTGAATATAATTCGTCATTCTTGTTTTATATTTTGGTGACTAAAATTCATTAGATTTTTCGTTGCACACAAATCACACTCCAAAACAACTCAAGACCAAGCTACAAGCAAAAAATAAATTTTTAATCTCAATTATAATACCTTTAAAAAATGTTTACTGTTAAATTCTTTTCCTATAAAATATTTCATATAATTTATGTTTGAATTGTGCAGAAATTACAGCATAAGCCTTTTGCCTAATAAGAAAGCGCGTTATTTGAATAAAAAAGACATATTACGCTAAAAATTAAAATGAACGTGTTTTGCTTTAATTATTGTCAGTATATTATTAAATAATATATAAGAAGGTTTTGAATTAATTGCTTCAACCATAAGTTAAAATATTTAAAAAAAAAACACTATCTTTTTTGAGTCTGTCAGCAAGTTATTGGAATGCTTTAAAACGTAATATGTAATGCAAATATCGTTACTCCCAACGACAAAAAATGTCGTTTCATTAAAAAACCGATTTTATAAAATTGTTAGATCGATAAAAACACTCCTCAACCACTCTTCGGACCGTTAATGTAGCTCAGTCTTGTCTACCCCAGCCTAAAAGCGCTACGCTCATTAGTACATTTGACTAGCCGTGCTGGCTTTTCTATGGTGTCACGCAGACGTTTCGTTTTCACCCCAACCCTCACTGTCACATTCTGATTCAGAGGCGGAGTCCGAATCGCTCATCTCCATAGCAACTCTCCTGGCCAATATACTTGCAACATCGTGTAATCCGTTACCCCTTTCCACCTCTTTTTGTTCAATCTTTTCTACCTTTCTCAATTTAATACCATCACGAATCGCTTTAAGTAAATCATTTCTTGGATCAGCCATTGGAGGTGGGCCTTGTTTAGAAATAGGTCTATCTTTAATTGGCATCAGCTTCGGTGGAGAAGAACTGTTCAATATCTTAGCTAAATCACCGTTCATCATGGGTGGTGGACTGATTGGTCCATTTGTTAATGTTGTTGGCATTGGAGGTGGCGGAGGCGGTGGAGGAGCAACCGGAGTTGTCTGTTTAGGAGGAGAAGTTTGTTTTGGTACAGGTGGAGGGGGCGGAAGTTCTTGTGCGGGCTCGGGTGTAGCTTGATGCGAATGGGGAGAATTTGATCGAGAGTGACTCTGCTGACGTGACATTACACGAGCAGGAATACCGTTAGGTGGTGACATTGACATTTCAGGAGGCGGAGGAGGAGGAGGTAGAGCGTCACGTCCTGCAGACATGCTTCGCCCTCTGGTTGGCGTGTTCGCGGAAGGAGTAGACGAATTGCTTGGCGGTGCAGGTGGTGGTTGACTCGGGCGCACTTTTCCACCCCGTGTCGGGGTACCCAGTTGATAATATTGATCACCATTGGGCGGATTATTCTGCATATACAATCCTGCTTGGTATGGATTCTCGTCATAAGGTGGATATACTGGACTGTGCATTCCATCAGGAACTTCTTGTTGATACGAACGCCTTAATTCTATTGAGTTGGGTCTCGGTGGTCTTTGTTCGATATTTAGATTGATTTGTTCTGGAGGTGCATAGTGAGGAGGCAGCTGTTGGGGTATTGGTGTTCTATAATGAACATTTTGAGGCATAATATATTCTCCATGCCCTACGGCGATTTGGCGTTGTCTTTCACGAGTATTGTGCGGTTGTCTGACTCTCTGCTTGTGTCTACCCCCTTGACTTCGTTCGTTTCTTGGTTTATGGGGTTTCTTGCCTTTGTCATGCATCATTCTTTCTGTATCTTTTAACATTTCTTGTCTCCATAATTCAAAGAAGTAATTTGGATCAGTATAGAATTTAAGACCGTCTTTTCCGTCATCTCTGTAACAATTTAGTTTGTCAAGAGGAGGTGGACGGTCACAGGACTGATAAGTCTCGAGCATAGCTGTAGGCATTGTCGATCTCGAAAATATCTAAAAAACATTCACATTAAAAATCTATAATAGTATATTGTAGATAAAGGTATTACCTGTTGGTCAAATACAACAGCACTCTTAAATGCTTTTCTCATATGAATATCCTGAAGTGAAATTTCTTCTCCTACACTATCTAATTGGGTCACTTTAATTGCAAGCCTATCAATTCTAGCTTGGAGGGAATTTGATCTATCATATATTTGTTGTGCATCTCTAGCTAATTCACCAAACAAATCTTCAGCATGTCTAGAAAGGGAAGACAACTGCCTCACTGTATTCGCTAAAGTCCCATTAGTGACAGCTTCCAATTCAGATGGAAGAGGGAAGTCATCAGGAAGAGTCCCTCTAGAGACATGTACTGGTTCTATCACACGTTTGGGTAAAGGCATTTTATTTCAATAGCCTTTGTGCTTATTATACAAATTGAATTCTATCCTACCATACATTAAACATTGAACTTCGAATGGTTTGTGCAGTTATTTCTTAGTTTCATTTTCTAAAATAAAAATAGTTTAAAACTAAGCAAGCTGAGTTACTATAAAAATCTACAGTAAGCAACAATTAGAAATTAATACAACAAAAGGGATAAGGGCATTACCTTTACCAATTAAAAAATTGCAGGATGTACACAGTTTAAAAGGAAATTGACACTTATTTTTAACAGCAGAGTCAACTAGTATTTTTTGGTTAAGCATTATGAACGAATGATGATATAAACCATATAATAGGTATCAGTATTAAAATTACTTGCACATTTGCTTACTCATTATATTCATAATAAACACTCCCAGTTTTTGCTATCATTATAATACAAATATCTCTCGCTGGAGAAAAACAAAACGTGCTTGAAATTTTAGATGATCCTATTACTAAATATACTTACATTAGATAAAATTTTAATCAAAAATAAATAAGATAGCTACCAAACATAAACTCGGTGCCAACGCATTTACTCATTTTTGTAACGAATAAATTGCTAATTATTTTCAGATAATTACGACTCCAGGAATGTTTACATGATCAGTGTAAGCAATTAAATTATCACATCAAAAAATCAAAATTAACAGATGTCTGGATTTATTTAGGTAAATGTCAAAAGTACGCCAAGCAAGAGGCCGATTTAAATATTTGGTTTTCTTACAGCACTACACACCTTTTTATTGTCTCTATTTTTCATGATCAAAAAACTGCACTGCAATTAACTATGTACACTTAATGTCCCGAATTCGAAAATTTCCGATTAAAAACATCTTAAAACATTTAAATGCACAGGAACCAGAAACTGTCTAAATGATACACCCTTCACCGTACTGTTACAGAACAGAGCAGGCGCATCATCACGTACCCAATGTAATGATATTAAACTTCTTGATTCTCACTTCCCACTCATTAGAAAATGTACGCTTTGTTACTAATAGCCTATAGTAACATAATAAATGAAAGTCAATGCAATTTTTATTTTTTACGGAACATACCTACCAATAACAATTCAACAATTAACAACAACACTTTTATTATAAGTATTCCTTGTTGCTTGCTATTTGCTTTGACTAATAATAATATATCACTTGTCTATGTAGCAAAAATGTATGAAGGTACCGTTATGTTGGTATAATTTTATGCAACAATAAATAAAACAATAATTATGTAATCTACAAACCAAAAAATGTTTATCTAACTGCTTAGTTTGCCCCCAGAATTATTTATTAAAAATCATTAACAATGTAGACGATTATTGTTCTTCAAGTAAAAATCATTTATATTTTTTAAAATGACCAATAAATCAGTAAACCTCTATGTACAATCTTTTAGCAGTCTCAAATGTTTTTGCTTTAAATTTTTATTTTAACAGCATATTAAGTCACACAAATTTCTATATTTAATCGTTGTACAAATTTTATTTTATTTTTTTACTTTACTAATTTCGTTTCTGCGACTTTAAATATAATTCAGGTGGATCAGAATTAGGATCTGCATTTGTAATTTGTTTGAACATTCCCAACATCAAAGTGGGTATTGTAGTTTTTCTTAATTCAATATTAAATTCTTTCAAAGTTTCTTGAAACACAGGTTCGAGGTATTTTAATTGGCCATGGTCTAAAGTGGGAAAGAAATGATGCAGCGCATGGTTTCCAAAGTTGGTAAGAATTAGAAAATGAGAACCATCTATTTCAAATCTATCCATTACAGCATCTAATTGTCCTAAACCCCAATCGAAAGGTATTTCTGGTCTAAAGTGTTAATGCAATTCGGAAAAGTTAATAATTATCACAATGTAATAATTTACCTTGGTTTATCCCCGTCGTGGAATATTTTGGGATGATGATGAGCTGCTGTAAAACCGATTAAATTGAAATATAAACTGGCAACTAAAGTGGCGGTAAACCACATTTTAAATGCAATCCAAAATGGCTGCTCACCCAACACGTACATAACCAACAGAGGAAAAAAAGAAACCAAATCGTGAAAACCAAAATGAGAAGTTCGTTTCAAAACAAGAAAAATGAGTATCCTAAAAGACCGAGTCAATAAACACCCATAAAAAATAAATGACGATATTGTAATTTACCTTTTTATGACTCCTATGTGATTTAAGGTAAGCCAGTAAAATGGCGCATATATTATTGACAGATACCTGTGTACAAACGACTTTCTTTTGGGCAAAAATTCCATTATAGGTTCGTGAAGTGAAATTTCCAAGTCCGCAATTGTGTTAGTATACAAGTGATGACTAAAAATGTGAAACATCCGAAATTCGCTAAAAACGTGACAAAGTTTAGAACGTCATATTTGTTTGACTTCAAAATAAACTTTACCGTGACTGCAGCAAAGACAAATCGGGATAATACATCCTCCAGTTGTCTTTTCGATGCATATAATTATGGCCTGCTATAGTTACCAAAGCCATTAAAATACCGCAAATAGTCGCAAAATAGAAATCAATATAACGGGTGGCCAAAACTCCAAAAAGAAACAAACCAAATGCCATTATATCCGAATAAAAGTTTGACCAACGACTATCTCTTTTTGGAAGGTCTTTGAGAAGGGGGCGAACTTTTCTTTTAAGTGTTCTATAAAAACCATCGTCCTTAAAACTAAATGGCGAATTTCGTGAAGTTTTAGCCTTCCTTTTCCAGTATTTAGGAAGAAGCTTTTCCGGAGAATCCGAAATATGATGAACTTCGAAAGCTTCTGTAATATCAGTTCCCTAAAATATTTTTTATTACAATCGAACTTTACTTACTTATTTACTTACTTTGGTCATTTTCAACCAAAACGCCCCACCAGGGTGTTTGTCTATAAAATCGTTTAAATCATATAAATCGTCATGGATTCTCCACAAACCCTCGGCCCCATCATCAATACGTTTACCCTCGAGCCAAATATCTGTGTTTTTTAAACGTAAATCTCTGTAAGTTGGATATTTCATCCCCAATGTGGATTGTAGGGGTATATTTTGGGCCTTTGGAGCCATTTTTTACACCGACTCAGCGTAATATTGCTTTCTCAATGTTTGTGATGGTAATTTAATCAAATTTAAACAAAAACACCATCTAAATAGACGCGATAGAAAACATTTTAATTCGTTTATCAGGGGTTATGAACTTTTTAATAAACAAACGATAAGGAGCCTAATTGTTATTTAATTTGAATTTTCTTTCGTCGATAAAGAGTAATCTATATACGTAAGCATTAAAACAAATTATGATAGCTTTCAGTTGATAACCTTCTTATTTAAAAACATAACAATAACCAAANCTTCTTTTAAGACTATTAAGAAATTCAAATAAACATTAATAGTATGTACTATTACTACCTAATATTTTTCTAATTAGATTAGATTAGAATGTGCGAGGACCCTGTAAGAGAAAGGCCCCGGGCGGTTGCTCTGTTCGCCACCCCCAAAGGCCGCCCTTGAATATAACGAAGTAAAATGGCGCATTTCTGTTAGCACAGAAAATGGCAGATTAGGAAATATTTTGATTAAATAGACATACTTCTAACTTGTCATCGAAGTAATTATAGCTGGTAAGTATCATATAGATACCTCATTTCGAACCCTATAAATTTCAATGAACCGTTTAGATCAATCGCCCAGTACAATGATTATAAATAAGCGTATTGTAATTTGAACACCGCAAAAGTATGTACATACATATGTATTATTAACGTACATACTGTAAAAAAAAAATGAAATTCTTAATAAGCTAGCAAGACTTTTTCGGGACTTCAAAGCGATCATTTTAATAAATTGTTTTCTCTTACTTCTCCTACTATTAATTTGAGCTCCTGAAGATATTAGTCATGACTGTTGGTGAAACGTCGAAAAAAAATAATAATTCTATAAAATGATGGTCTATAAGTCCGAACAAATCAATGATATTATTTATTTTAAAATCTAATAACAATACACTATAATTGTTGTGTATATAGGGGACGCTATGGAAGTCAATAAAAAAAAAGATAAGTTGGTACCTCTCTCAAAGGGCTAGTTAGAGTCAAAAGTTGTTGAGAGGAGTAGAGATAGACCTAGATTAGATTACGGTTCAAAAATAGTTAAGTAAGTGGGATGTTCTAGTTTTAGGGAAATGCGAAGATTAGTTCAGGATAGGAAAGAGCGGAGGTGCGTGTCCACCGACCCTACGATGATGATGATAATGATGTTATCTAAACAATTTTTAAAGTGTAATTTCACATTTAGTGTTTAACATATTTTAGTAGCAGTTTATTCATAAAAAAAATGCACTTAAAAAAGAAGTAAGTACTTACAAATTTAAGTCCTTTTCAAGTGTCATGTTATCACCTCTAATAATAAATTGAGCTGTAGCATTTCAAGACCGCAAAACACTTCTGTACTCACTAATAACTAAACTGTATTCGTAAGATACGTTGTTTGCATTCAAATAGATTTATTTTTATTATCGTAATTTTAGATATAACATATTCAACAGGGTCGTGGGCATTATAAT